ATATTTATATAAATATATGTGTGTGTATATGTCCGCATCTGTAGCCTGTTATTGTCTCATTATACCGCACTGTCAATGAATCAAAAGTAAATATATATAAGTCATCATGAACACATCTGTCCATCAGAGTGCTGCTGTCATCATGAATGGACGTCTCTTTAAAATGACCGCTCAGAGGAGAGGAGTTCTCATTTCTCTAACCGCCTTCTGCTTCCCCTCCTCTCTCCTCGGTTCCCCTCCTCAGTCCTCCGCTCGCATCTCCTGTGGGCGTCACCAAGTCTCGAGAAGAGGAGTCGAGGAGGGGAAATTTGAGTATTGAGAAACCTCTGTTGTTTCATAGAAAGCTAAAATTACCGTATTGGCACGAATATAGCGTGGTGTATTGTTCACAACAGGACATTTGAATGAGCAGGGGTTAGGTGTGTGGTCCATATGTGAGGACGACTAGAAAATAAATGCCAATACGCATTTACAACAGTAGACTACTCTTCAACGAAAACATTTTCAAAATTAGTGGAGAAAAGTACTTTCACTGACAACTTCCTACAATGTCTGCAAGCGTAGAAGAAGAGGAAAAGCCACCACAAAACAAGGTAACTACATCGTCCTCGCTCGACACATTCATCTTTATGTTTAGAGCAGCGTAGCAATTATGGGGACTTAATAAGGAGGTGGAATATAATAATAATGTTTAAGTTTTATTAATCACCAGAAACTAAGAAGCGTTGTATTTTTAGGCTTGAATGCTTCATTTATTTTGCCAGAAAGCGCCTCACTGAGCCCGCCATGTTCCTACCGTAGGCCAGAGTGGACAATCCAAGCGGTCATTCGCGTTTTTACTTGAAAGTGGCAGCACTTCGTGCATCGGTCACTATGATCGGTCACCTATCATGTAAAATTGCACACATAAATATGTGTCCCCGTTGTCTAGAAAGTCTCACGTAGTTTTTGGGAAAAACAACCCTGCCTCTTTTTCGCCTGCTCAAGCTTTCTAAAGAGCGAATGAAGATTTGGACTCCCATCTATTGTCACAATCAGAAACTGTATTCGTTCTACAGAGGGGTTATTTACATTTTACAGCAAAAGTGAAGATGGAGACAAACAAAAATGATACACTATTAGAAAAGGCATGCACATTACATTTAAAATAGTATTCATTTTTAAAGTAACATTCGTAATACATTTCCAATTTTCAATGTGTAACTGCAACAACAAGTTATGATTTCCCATTTAAATTAATATTATTTTATTATGTAGACCTCAGGCTGTTAGAAATGTATTTTGATTACTTATATTAAATTAACTGCAACCATATAATGTACAAGCCCAACACGAAATATGTCATGGATAGGTTCAAGTAGATTTAGATTACATATATTTTTATTGCATAGAGATGGGGAAAAAAAACATTTTCAAGAAGATGCTTTGTCTCTTTCTACAATATATTATACTCACTAATGAATATACTGGAAAAAAATTGTTACTTACCTCGGTTATTACAAAAATGGATATGCCACCCAACTAAGGCTGAAGAATGGGTCAATACCAACTGTCTGTGAAACGTCTAATCTACCATTTTGGAATACTTATACTTTAATACTTTTCTAGTATTTACATGTTATGCTAATTTAAACTTCTAGTTCACTTCATTTTAGAAGCCAATATTGTACTTTTTTTCTCTACTGCATTTATTACATTAATAATACTAAATATAAACTATGCTATATCTATAGGTGAAGAAATCCAACACGTCTATGAAGTATTTCAATTATCTTCATCTTTACCAGCTGTGATGAACACATTCATAATAATAATATTTCAGTAATTTAAAATTTAATATTTAGTACTTTACATTACATTAGGTATACTTTGATGCCAGTACTTTCGTTCTTTTACTTAAGTGAGATATTGTATGCAGGACTTGTACTTGTAGTAGGCTACTTGTAGTAAAACTAAAAATATATTGAAATATCTGTTAACTTCTTCCACCTCTGCTGTCAGTTACGATCTGCAACCTGGCCATTAGATGTCACTAACTCCCACACCGCCTGCTCCTTTGGCCGGTTCACATTGTTGTTTTTTTGTATCTTCATAAAGTATACTCAAACACATTTAGGAGTTGTCTTGTTTTTACAGTTGTTACCCCCCGTAGCCGACTAAGTTAGCTTGTTAGCTCATTGAGTTGACAGCAGCATCCTGTATGTTAGTATCTGCTTCAATACATAATCTCAGAAGTGGGTGGGTGTTTGGAAGCGCGGCGTCTGCAGCATAATTAAAACATGGCGGATTCAGAGGAATTTAGACTGAAACGATTAAAGGTAAGAAATACAAACATGGAGCATATGTATAGCAACACATAGGCGGCGAGCTAAATTGAACAGTCGATAAAGCTACATAATACGACACTTAGTTATCAGCTTCCGGTCAAGATGTGCACATTTAAGCTAACGTTAGCAAGCTAGCTTTCCACCCTGTGGCTTGCTGCTGTTCTGCACTGATGCATGCCCCCACGCCAAACTCTGTCTAACAGCCTGTTTATATCAGCAAACAATAATACAAAAATAATATGATGCAGGTTTTTTGTCAACACAAAGAGCTTTTATTATTCCAGCCCTGCAGATGTGTGTTGTAGTGGACTGCTGCTTCCAAAAGCCCCTGCATCGAGGAAGGATGCTGCAAACAAGTGGACATTTTACTAAATTAACATGTTGCCATGAGAATCCCTTGCGTTGCATGTTATTATGACCCGGAAGACTCCAGCAACCAATACAATGTGTGATTGGATTGTGTGGTGTCTGTGTCAGTATAATAATACAAATATGCCCGCACGCCTCAAATCGCCACATTTTAAATGGGCTTCGGTGGGACGCCCCCTCCACACAACTGATAGGACAACATGAGGCCTGCAGCCATTACAATTGAAAATAGAGAGACATTGAGGGTATAAAGGTTAGTCAGAAAGTTCACAATTTTAACCCAAACTGTAAGATAGGCAAGACTCTATGGGATCCTTCTGGGCAAGTCAATGTGTATTAAACATCTGCATAGCATTGGCTGCATTGCTCACCTGCAGGACCCAAAGAAAGTAGTGATGTACAAATGACCCTCCTGTGTGCAGCTTGGGTCAGGTTTGTGATGAAGGGTTAAACCCTGTTGCATTGTTTTCTGAGATCAAATTAGCTGGAGGGTTGTTAGGGCATTTTATGGTTCATTCAGTTGAGTAATGGACTAGGAATATGATGGTGGCCTACAGCATGAATATAAGAGAAAAATAATGGGTGCACCTTTTTTAAATAAATAATTGTGAAGGTTTTGTGAACATTTAAGAGATTTATATATATATATATATATATATATATATATATATATATAAAGTAAGGGTAAAAATTCCACAGTGATGGAAATTGTGTTCCATTATGAGGTTGTGAGCAGTCAGGAGATTTTACAGTGCAGAAAAAAGTATGAATGAGCTTGAATTTCCCTCGTTTTTAAATCCTAACTTATCTCTCCCCCACAGCATGAAGAGCGGCTGTCCCGAGTGTTTGACGAAGTGATGGGGCTTGGACACTTTGCTGACTCCTCCAGGGGCTCTGCCACCTCCTCCAGGAGTGAAGGTCAGGACGAGACAAAGGAAGTCGACACAACTTCAGCACAAGTGGAACAGCAACCGGTTGAAGAGGAGGATAGCAACGGCAGCAGACAAGAAGAAAAGATGGAAGAGGGGGCGGAAGAGTCTTCCTTACTGTGCATTACCTCCCCTTCCTCCGTCCCAGGCTCATCGTTTACAATGGGAACCAAAGAAGTCGGAGGAGGCGGAGGAAGTGGAGGGGCAGCGTTTGATGACGCACAGGATGGACTCCCTGCGTTTGGGCCAGGAGAAGAAGAAGAAGACTGGCACTTTGCCCTGCCATCGGACAGCCTGGGGGATGTTAATGTGGTAAAGGATAAAAAAAAAATGGCACCAGAAGTGGAGATCAACGCCACACAACGCAAACCCTTCCCTCCTCAGCCCAGAGAGGTGGAGGATGTAAGCACAGAGTCGGCTAACACCTCCCACTCCTCCCAGGACCACACACCTGAAAACAGCCACGGTAAAGCCACACGCACATGAGAAGTTTCTACACACAGTTTTAAAGTAAATGTATTTCCAATGCCATATTTAAATTCTCTTTTTGTGGTGGCCGATAGGTGCAATCGCGCTACAACGGCCCAAAAAACGTCCATTAGTAGAAATGGGCTGCAGCTTCCAAAACTATGCAAATATATAAAAACACAAATGAGTCGTAACGCATGCAAATGAAGAAACATCTTCTCCCACTTGACACACTGATGATGTGTCTGGATGTTTTTTGGGCTGTCATTAAAAAAGACACACTGCCATTTTTAACATCAAGTTGGGTTCATTAGTCAAAAAGAGTACTATTTATAAATGAAAAAAAAAGTCATATAGTGTCCTTTGTAAGTCAAAAAGTAGCTTTCTGGAAAATAGCCTTGATGATGTCATTGAGACGTAACGCTATTAGGGTTGTTATTCCTTTCAAAGAAATGGGCCTCTATCTATTGAAAGACAGCATTGAGTTGCATTATTGGAATGGGAATTGTAAGAATTATTAATTTGGTAGCTTGTCATATACTTGATCTAAAAGTCAGAATGTCTTGACCTCTTCTTTGACTGTCCTCTTTTTAAAATGTGTCCCTTGTAAGTCTGTTTATTTTAGTGTAATTCAAAATGGCTGCACCAAATGTGGCTAGCCGTCACACATCCTTTGTCAGCAGACAAAATCGTATAGAACTACAGAGGGAGCTTTGACATGCTCTTCTGCATAATAATAGCTTTTAGTGAGATTTTCCTTAGAATTTGTATCAGGCTTCTTTTCTCCTTCTCAAGGACATTACAACAGGCTGATGGCCATTACTGTGCAAAGCAACATTTCAGACACATTTTAAATTAGTATCCTCAGCATATTACTAGAGTGTTGAAGGTATCATCACATGAAAAAATGGTAGCCATGTTTGAAGGGATTCCGCGATTGTGAAATTCTTAGCCGATTATAATGTGACTGATTGCTGATACCAAAGTTTGGTTGTTGTTAATAAAACAAGAAAATATCCATTTCAATAAAGTAACTTTACTGGTATAAAGTCATTCAGCACTTTGATAACAAATGTAATCATACCAATTTATGAAACCACATTTAATTTAGCCTTTTTATAGACAGTTGTAATACTCCCATGTGGACGACATTTTCTTTCTCTTTTATTTGTAATCAAATCACACCAGTACCCATAGAGGGGTTAAGTCAGTAATGGCGGCTTGTGTGACTTTATGTAACAGTTGTTTGAGGTCTGTTGGGTGTGTGAGAGTTTTATGCTCCACTGGTTTGTACTTATGCTTGCAATTGGACAGCCTTTACGTATCACAACAAAACTTCAGCTGAATAAACCGAGACAATTTTTCCAAAGAAAGACAATATAAGCAGTTTAAAATGCTTTACACAAAAGATTGTAAGTGTGCTCAGAGATTGCTTGCAGTAGTGTGTTCATTATCCATTATTTCCTAACTTCTTTGGTGGTATCTTTTCTGCCTTTCTGTCAGGCGGAGGCATCCAGGACCGGGCGGAGGAGACAGAAGATAGCCAGGAGGGAGAGGTAGGAATCGTGGTCATATAATCCCATAACATCTTTAAAAACATATCGAGATAATTATGAAAAGTCTTTATATTTCAGAGGACAGAGGCAGCTCCGATGGAGGACAGTAGTCCCCCTCCTATCAATATTAAAGATGAACCCATCGATGAGGGCTACGACGCTGCGCTGCTGCCTCAGAGCTCCATCAGACAGATCAAAGAGGAGCTGGAGCATCAGGAGGTCAGTTTGGGGAGAGTCGTGTGGATTTGTAATTCTCTTATTGATAAAAAGGACAAGATTTAACTGCAAAACAATAACATATTTGTTTAAAAGCTGCTGAAAGCCCATGCTTTCTGGTGATTGTGAATAATTATAATAATACAATGTTTCCTAGCAAAACAGAAACTAGACATTTTATCTATTAATCGCTGATGTTGTTTATTAACAACATCAGCGATGATGACTTGCAACAGTACTACATGAGAGGGCATCATTAACCATTTATAAATAATCTAATCTCCTAATGTGTGCTCCTTTTAGGAAGAGCTGAGGATCAGCTCCGTCTACTCTGTAGGTGGAGGAAACACCTTTGCGTCGCCTACCGGTGAGTTAGTTCATGTGTTCATTAAAGGCCCGGACACACCAGGCTGATCTTGGCCGTCGATGGGCATCAGGCCGTCGATAAGAGTCGACACGCGCTACTCAGATTGGTGTGTCCCGCACCGTCGTGTCTTTTCAGCCGTGCCGACACCTTTTCGAAAACCCACCGATTCAACATGTCGAATCGGTGGGCAGTCGGCCAAAGGCTGTCGGCAAAATATATCACTCTGATTGGCTGTTCAGCTAGCGAATCAGTGCATGAGAAGCGAAACGGAAGTGAGGGACCCAAACAAACTATTGAGAAGGCAAATCTGAGATTTCATTTAACTCCAGCTCTCGACACAGGTTCGGGAAAGCCCCATGAGCTTCTCGCTGTAGAGTGAAAATGGAACGCACACGCTATTTGTTGTTTGTTTATATCACGCAGTCTGTTCTTCTTCTCTCTGTGTATCACGCAGTCTGTCTTCCGGTTGTTGCCTCTTTTGAATGACGAATACACACTACCGCCGCCTGCCCGTAAGGAGAGTTATTTCCACTCACGCATGCGCAGTTCGTACGTGCTTCTTGGCCGTCGGCTGAAGTCTTTGCGGTGTGTTCGAGTGCGACACATGGCCAAGTAGCAGAGACGCGAGGCGACACAACTGTCGGGGTCCGTCTGTCAGTTCTTTGGTGTCAGCTTGGTGTGTCCGGGCCTTAACACTAGAACCGCCAAGGGGGTACATTTTACCCCTGAGCATTTTCAAATGCATGTCACTCTGTTAAAATACAACCCCTACATTCTTATTTCATGACTTTTCCTAAAATTGTTTTATTTATAATTGTGGGATAAAGAAAACTAAAATATAAGCTTTAATACCTAGAACTGCGGAAGGGGGTACATGACGTTCACGCCACTGGTCCGGATGCTTAGTAAACGCCCATTGTAGAGAAATGTTGATAAAGAAGTGTCATATCACCAGCGAAATACACCATAGGTTAGTGATTCAGATAGAAAACGTGGACCCTAAGAGAAGAATGAATGTCGAAGAAGCCCTAGCAATGCTCCAGGCGATGAGCGAGGCCGAATCCGAAGGGGGAGAGAAAACCGATGGAGAATCTGATGAGGGAGAGGTCAAAGATCCGTCAACGGAGGAGGAATCCTCATCTGAGGATTGGGAGCCGATACCTCGAAAAAGGCCCAGGGTTCTGTTGGCAGGTAGACTATAGTCCCACATCTTCGAACACCCACATCTGAAACTCAAATATATATTTCAGTCCTACATATTCTCAAGTGGCAAATTATCACAACCTAATTACCTCCTCTTAGCGAGACCACCCACTCCTCTACCCATGTTATCGCATCAGCCTGCTGACACTGTGACAGATAAACCAGGTAAGCCTGTATAGTCTATAAAAAAGTACATTTGACCAATCCATTTTAACAAACTAATTATACATATTTATATTGTTTAGTGTCGGCCCATCATGATTCGCATGAGACTGGCAAGGATGGAACTCTCTGGATACCAGAGAATCCTGGCCTGCGCACTGGGAGAGTGAAGTCTAACAATGTGTTGACAGAAGGAGCCGGCCCAACCGCACATGCACGCCACAACATAGACGACCCTCTGAGCGCATTTATGTGTCTGATGGACCCTGTGATGCTGAAGCACATCTGTGACTGCACGGTGGCAGAGGCGCGCCGGCGTGGAGAGGAAGGATGGAAGTTAAGCTTGGCTGAGCTGAAGGCGTTCATTGCACTTCTTTTAGCGCGGGGCGTGCACAACGGGAGAATTGTGGAAGACTTGTGGTCTCAAGAATGGGGTCTTCCCTTCTTTAGCACAACTATGGCAAGGCACCGATACAGAGACATAATGCGCTTCCTGCGTTTTGATAAGAAAGACACCAGGCGCAGTCGTCTTGGAAATGACAAGTTTGCCCTTGTGAGTGAGGTGTGGGACAGGCTTGTCCAAAACAGCATCGCGTGCTATAAACCAGGGTCCGAAATAACTGCAGGTGAGCAGTTGCTCCCCACAAAGACAGGGTGCCCCTTTACTCAGTATATGCCCAACAAACCAGACAAATTTGGTATTAAGTTCTGGCTCGCTGTGGATGTGGAGTCAAAATACATGTTAAATGGCTTTCCCTATCTCGGGAAGGATCCGTCCCCTTCTGCAACCCAGAGCCAGGGGGAGAGTGTTGTCCTGGAGCTGATGGAGCCGTTTTTGGGGAATGGGAGGAATGTGACGACTGAACACTTTTTCACCTCACTCCCCCTGGCCCACAAACTCCTGGCAAAGAATACAAGCTTGGTGGGCACCACTAATAAAAATAACAAATCACTGCCTCCTTCTGCACACCAACGAGCAGCACTGTTCACCACCAAAGTGATGAAAAGTGACAAAGCAACGCTCACCATCTACCAAGAGAAAAGGAAGAAGAACGTGTGCATCCTCAGCACAATGCACAGCTCAGTGGAGATTTGCGATGACACGAAAAAAAAGCCAGAGACAGTCAACTATTATAACAGAACGAAGGTGGGAGTTGACATGCTGGACAAAATGCTGAGACAGTACTCTGCTCGAGCCACAACCAGAAGATGGCCAGTCGCTGTTTTCTATAACATACTGGACATTGCAGCAATGAACGCGTGCGTCCTGTACCGGGGCTGCACCGGTTCAAACCCGTCCCGGCCAGTGTTTATCCTGGAGCTGTGTAAGCTGCTGCGCAATGAGCACATCAGTAAGCCCAAAGTAGGCATCTTGCCATCATTCCCCGAAAAGAGAAGGAATTGCGGTGTAAAGCGCAACTGCAGAGAGAACAAAACCACCAAAACATGCATGGTGTGCCAACGTGGTGTGTGTGGACAGTGCAAGGGAATAGTGAACGTTGTGTGTGCCGATTGTGTGTGTGGCTACAGCACAATCACATTTATTTGAGAAAAGGCCTGTCAGTGGTGGCATTATTCCTTAATTGTGTCACTAATCATCTCATTTGAATAACCGACTATAACGTTTGTGTCGTTTCTGTTGCAGTTTACATAAAAATGTCAAATGGGCTGCCTGTAAAATGTCTTGAGGGATAGCACCCTGCTTACTCAAAACACGTTATTTTCCAAAATGCATTTCAATGTTAATAAATGTTTTTTTAAATTAAAATGTAATGGTTTATAAAATGTTAATATGTGGTATTTCCTTTTTGTCTGACATTTGTAATATTTTGAGTGACTTCGAAATGAATTTTAAAATGTGTCGATCTGCACTGAGATAAAGCAATTGTAAAATGATTAACACCCAATAAACTAAAGTTTGAACAATTATTTTGTCAAGTCTTACTTATTATTTAAAACAAAGATGAACATGAACAACCTAACAGCATAAAGAAATATCATTTTTGCGAGTACTGACGCTGTTGCATCTGGGGGTAAAATGTACCCCCCCGACGGTTTTAGGGCTGTTGGAATTGTTCTTGTGTCTAGTGTCAGAGGTATCTGTTCATTGATACTTTCTTGAGACCAGCTGCTAAAAAAAAACAATCTAGAAACGAATAGTCCATGGATTTGTTTTGGAAGTAAAACTCATCAAAATATATTTTGACTTTAGTGTTGCACGATTCTGAAAAGTTATAATAATTCTTGGTTGATATTGAAATATTAAAGGGACATTTGCAACATTATAATAACATACCAATACATTTTATTATAATTGTATTCTGTCTGTAGAACTTTATTCTATGCAAGGACTTCTTTGCAGTGCTACAATACTTAAATTATAAATTATGTTTTCACATATTTAAAAATAAAAATTTGCTCTTACTCAGATTTGGATATTGCACTAGTGAACATTGCAATTTTGATAATATTTAGATGAATTCTGCAGCCCAATTTTCATTTTCTTAACCTTTCCCCTTTCATCCCCTCAGTGCCGTTAGCAATCCCAGCCCCCCCTCAGACGACCTATTTTATTCAAGGTAGAGGGACCCTGCTACAAGCCATGGCCCAGATCCCGCTCAGAACCCCTGCTTCAGTCCCAACCTCCCTCCCATCCCTAATTTCTGTCCCCCCACGCCAACCTCCGCCCTCTGTTCCCGGCAGCGTTCGCTGCAGCGGCTGCTCTAAGGTACAGTTGTTCACATATTTATACGTTAATTAAAACACTCATGTTTTATGCATCTCTATTATCATACAATATTGACAAAGATGTATTTGCTACATTGACCAACCATATAAATGAAACGGTGGTGTAAAGTAACTAAATACATTAACTCAAGTGACATTTTGAGGGACTTGTACCTTATATGTGTTGCTATTTTGTACTTCTACCCCACTACAATTCAGAGGCAAATCGTGTACTTTAGCTCCACTACATTTATTTTGTACCTTTTAGTTACTTTGCAAATTTGGATAAATGATGTGAAGTATAATCAAGACTTTAGTTCCACCTGGAGTAAATCACAAGCTACCCTGCAGTATACAAAGTCATTAAAACTAGCTGCGCCTTTATCAGCTTTGATAACACTTTAATGATCAATAATTATAAAACATATCATATATATTGACTTGATACAATGAGTACTTTTACTCTAGGTACTTAAAGTAGATATTGATGTGAAGACTTTTGTATTGTACTTTTACTTCAGTAACATTTGTACACTTGTAACAAAGTACTCCCACCTCTGAAAGGAAATGATCATGTTTAATGTGTCGGGGCTTTGGGCAGTGATGTAGGCTTTTATTCTTGTAAGTTTATGGCTGTTTCAATGGTTGCAGGTTCTGCTGAAAGGTCAAACAGCGTTTCAGAGGAAAGGCTCCACGCAGCTCTTCTGCTCCACAGTGTGTCTGACGGGCCACCTGCCTCCAGCCAACAAGAACCGACTGTGCTTCCAGTGCAACAGGTTGGTACACCTTTGATTTCAGTATGAACTGAAATCAGGGTTCTATACAGGAAAGATTATCCTTAAGCTGTATCTCCTCTCTTTACCTGTCGCTTGTCCTGAAAAAATAATAATATGGCTTTCCGGTGCTCAATCCCCCCTCCATCTGTCTACCATTAAATACCCAATTTACCTGATGCCTTCAAATAAAATCATAAATAACTAATTAAATGTTCTTGAATAATTACACAGAAAGTATCAAGTTACTTTATACATAAAAGCAAGTTTGTTAATAAACATACAGCCCTTATAAACTCACCGGCCACTTTATTAGTTACAACTCGCTAGTACCATACAACAATATTCAGGCTGGCTGTGGCGTTTAAAGGTCTCCTATAATGCTATTTTTAGGCATATATTATGGGTCTCAGATATATAAAAATATATAAAAAACATGTCTATGATATGTTTTGCTCAAAATACCAAACAGATCATGCATTTTAGACATCCTTCATATCCCTCTCTTTCAGCCCTGTTAGAGAAGTGCTGATTCGGGGTCCTTAGCTTGAAGAAAAAAAAAGAGAAGGGGGAGCTTGAGCCTGCTCAGAATTCTGCCACAGATACAGCTAAATGCTCCCGTGATTAAACTCCATACCATGTTCCAAACCACATCAAGGATTATTTCTGAAACAGTATGGAGCTCAAATGCTTTTTCCTTTTTTTTTATTTCCTGCTTTTTAACATACAGTATGTGTTCATGTGTTAAAAACCAGCTAACCAATACAGGTTAGCTCTGAGTGCTAGCGATGCTTGCTAATGTAAACAACTGATCTTCTCTAACAGAGGAAAGACGTCCTCCTTTACCGACCACAGACCGGCTGAGTCCGAAAACACAATTGTCTTCGGACAAGTTCCCCTAAACAACAAGTGTTCTTTTGCTACTCTGACAATATAGTTCCGAACCCTAGGTCTTCTCACCTTGTTTCGGAACATCATCCTTAGGGGTAATTAGTCCTGTGTCTCAATCCGTCTGTGTAGTAAGAGTCGGCCTGCTCTGACTTCTTCGCTGTAGTGCTGATATATGCATGTGGATTTTTGTGGTGGTAACTGTTGTGTCGCTATATATTACTACTCGCTTCCTGGTTTCCGCGGAATCGCCGACTCCTCTGTTTTTATAATTATTGTTCTTGTGATTATATGGTTTGTAGTATTTATTCCTAGTACCCGCAATCCGCATTGGTTGTAAACCTCGAATCATCGTGTAGTATTTTACATAATCTCGAGATTGTACGTGTAATGGACTTGATCACGACTATTGTACCTATCGTTGTTTTCTTAGCATTCTTTGTGTTACGAATTCATTGGTGAGGTTTCATCTCTGGTTAGATGTGGGTAGCAATTTTAGCTGTATCAGTTGGCCCGTTGAGATCCAATCTTGATAATTGTACGATATCCTATACCGTTGTAATAACGGTTCATTATAAACTATGTTTGTATTATGGTGCATGTGTTTTCTCACTTCGTTTTTTGTTTTTACTGCAAGTCTTTGTTGTTAAAAGATTACTATATCGTTTAATATCGAAGGGTCACATTTTATGGTTATTCTAACGTGGATGAAGTCTTATGGCTGTGTAGTGTCTGGCAATACGTAGTTATGCATATCTGGTTAGGTATCTGGAGCGCTGTTCTTAACGTATGGATAATGACGATATACTCGTGTATGTAACAATCTTGAACATAGTCATGAATAATTTGTGTGTTTAGGTAGTATTATTAGTGGAGGTATGTGTACATTATGTGTAGGTGTGCTGGTTATATTCGGTTGTGCTCTTGCTGAACGTTCAAGTGCTCTAGTAGGTCTTTGCGTTTCATACTGGGCACCAGTGCGTCCGACCCTTCTGGACTTAGCACGTTATCATCGTGACCACACTTCTTTGTGACACCCCTCGTTATAATCTTTACTCTGTATGTCTGGTACTATTCGAGGGAGCTAGACTCCGGGTGCTTCTCAGTGGGACCCCCAGTTTTTACTAGTGGACTCGTTGTGTGGTGTGCCCCTGGATCAGTTACTGGACGTCTCTCACCTGGTTTTCTAGTTTTCTGAGACGCTCAGTAGTTGTGATGCTGTGGTCCGCCTGTAGTTTTTAGACGTGTCTACCTCGTCTATCACGTAGGACGGTATTGGTCTGGGGTTGGAGTGTCAGGGTGTAGATCTTCTCCTAAACGGATCTACTTTTGTCACTTTACTAGCGTCTTTTCCTACCCTCTTCCAGTATTCCGTCTACTTTGGCTTTTTTGAAAAAACCATTTTTTAGTGGTCTGTCATCAACCGTCCTCTCTTGAGTAAAAACGTGTTAGTTCTGGTAATAGTAGTATTTGGTTTACGGTAACCAACTACTTCTGTAGCGCTCCTTTGTATGTGTCTGGATACCCCCGCGCGAAAGTCATAGAGGTCTGATTTCCTAGGATCTGCTCCTAGGCATCCTACCCGTACTAGGGGGCACTCTAAACTTACGTTGGAGGAAGGTAGTCGTTCCTCGTACCTTTCTCTTTGCACGACCCAGAAGTCGTACTGTTATGGGTTTGTTGTCGGCGGGCCCGTCGCTTCCTCACCGAAGCATTCTTGTAAGATCTCCGGCACTCACCGGAAGGCGTCGGTATAGGTTGGGTATCTCTTACGGACAACCTCCCTACTTTCATCGTAGTACAGGTCGCTGTCCGGGGTTTTGTAGTGACGAGATCTCCTTCTGACCGTACTGTCTTACCCGGTTTTATGTCGTGTGTCACACACTTTTTGGACACTTCTGAATGTCTTTTTGCAACTGGAGACAGTAACGGTTGTTTCCCATGATATGTTTCATACACTCTAATTGAAAAAATAAGCTGCGTTTTATGAATAAAAGGTGGTATTAAACGTTTATTTCAAGGAAATTTTAGTCTGGTACACTAAAGACCTTAATCAAACAGAGGTAAGACAGAGAGTATTCAACTCCATATGGAATCCTACTTTTAAATGTCCGGAGAGCAGTAGAAAAATTCACCCCTCTGGAAGCGTGTTAACCACCGCTGATCTTATGAAAAAACGGGTGTGACATATATACAGTTCCAATTGTCACCGTTGGTGATTATTACGTACTGAAATCAAATTCTTCAGTATAACTGGGTTTTATAAAAGAATCATGGTTAACTCGTAACACAATTTCCCCTTGGTTAGTAACGTTTTACATGAAAAATACAGAACATATTATTTATACAACAGGGGCCACACTGTCCTCGCTTGAGGTTTTCACAGTCTTTTGTTTTGGGAGAGAGCAAAGGAGGTTATGGGTTTAGGAGCTTTTTTCCCCTCTTGTTGCCTCGCTAGGTCTAAACGGCATGGCTATACTGCATTAAAACGTTTACACCTGGGTGCCGGATAGTCTTTGCAACGATAGTC